CATCTCAACTGCACGACGTACATAATAGTCCGGGCGCTCGTAACACAAAAAATGGAACAATTTTTTACAGTCTGCCATTGATAGGGGAAATATTTACAGCCACAAGCTGTAGATAGATGTACTTAAAAATCTTCGTTACGTGTTAATGCATACTTAAACATTAACTTTAGTTAGCAAAAAGAACGTAGTTTCTTGAAACAACTTTCAAACAGTCTGCCTTGTGAAATTTCGTCAATTTTACGCTAACATTAGCCTAAATTGAGCTTGGCAGATTGTAAAAAATTGTTCTTAGACGATTGTTCTTGTATGATTTAATTGCTAACTAACATAAGTACGCTTTATTCTTGTACTGAAGAAAACCATCTGCCAATAAACTTTTCATGGATTGCGCAATCTTGCCTTGTGCTCAAATAAATGGCAGACTGTTTGAAAGTTGTTTCAAGAAACTACGTTCTTTTTGCTAACTAAAGTTAATGTTTAACGAAGATTTTTAAGTACATCTATCTACAGCTTGTGGCTGTAAATATTTCCCCTATCAATGGCAGACTGTAAAAAATTGTTCCATTTTTTGTCTTACGAGCGCCCGGTCTATAAAGAAGGTATTCCAAAACCAGAGATGAAAAATCGAATCGAAGGATCTTCGCTCTAACGAAACGAAATTCTAGAGCCATAAATTGCGGTGGAGCAGCTTCCGGTTTCCGAATAGAGGCTGGATGCGACCGTGAAACGTGCATGATTGAGGGGTGGAGGAAAACTAGAAAGGGTGTCGATCGAGAAAATAATTCGTCGTCGACCGGACGGCCGAGGGGCGCCACAGGACTCGTTTCCGGTCGAACGAGTATTTATTTATCGAACCGTTTTGCCTCCTTTGTCACGGCGAACGGATCCCCGAAGGCGCGTGCAACCGGGCCAAGACGGCCAGGCGGAAGTGCAGGGTGTGGATTTTCGATGCGCGGAAATGGGGTAGCAACGGGAGCAAGGTGAAAAAAAAAGACGAGGCGGCCCAGAGGGAGAAAGCAGAGAAAGAGAGAAGAGGAAATGACTGGTAACGCCGGGAGCAGCTGCTCCCGAGCCGAGCATTTTGCGAATTCCGCCGCGAGGCATTAAGAGGCCACCCTTCGTTCCCTTGCGACTCCGTCTCTCTCTCTCTCTCTCTCTCTTTTTCTCACTCATTCCGGCCTTTTCTTTTCACGTTTCCTTTTTCGGCGACACGTGAAAACGAGCAGGAGAGAAAGCTCGTGTCTTTATTCTCTTTTTGTTAAATAAAAACAGGAAAACGAGAGGTATAATAAACTGTTTTCTATTAAGTTAGAGAACGCATCCGACCGTCTTTTAATTTAGGTTTCAGTCTCGGCACGTATTGCACTTGCCACTGAAGAATGTTTACAAGGAAAGTGTACGTGCGCAGCTGGCAACGATAAGAAAAATAAGTACAACTTGATAATTTCTCGTTGGTTAATAATTGTTTACGTAAACTACGGAATGATGGACGCGAGGTCGAATATAAATTCCATCCGGCGAGAGTATAAAATCCAAGAATATCAGTGGTCTCCGTTAGAAGAAAAACAGACTTGAACCAAGTTGAACCATATCATGTCGCGATTCGCAGTGTTAGCATTGACGATAATTGCTGCTGTCTTTATTTGTGAGTATCATTAGAATATTTTATAAGACATAAAACTGTCTCGCAGCATAGTTAATTACTACTCAATTTTATCAGTTTCACCATATAATTTGTATCCATCCACTGTATCAAATTATGATAACAAAATCGACGCACAACGAACTATGAATTTTTCAACAATTTTTAATGTCTCCAGGTCAGACAGCGGGTCAAGATCATCCACAATGTCCACCGAATGAAATTTGGTCATTCTGTGCTAGAGCTTGCGAGGCAACTTGTGCTAATCCCATAGAATGCTTACCCGTAAGTATTTCTAATTATAAAATCACGTTTTCAAATTACGTTTGTACATTATTTTGCCGATTTGTTTCAGCTATGCGTAGAAGGAAGTCCTGGTGGCTGTCGTTGCAGGTCGGGATACGTGAGAAATCCGAAGAACGATCAGTGTGTATATCAACAGGATTGTTGAAGACTGCAACTCCAATAATACGTGCGATAGGGATGTTTATATAGAAACTTGCCACCATATACGCCACCCATAGATTTATTAGGTAACGCGTGTAAGACCTATTAAAACTTTCCAATGTAACACTAACAATGCAATAATAAAAGGAATTTCAAGTATGAATACTGTCAGTTTGTCTATCCAACTGTATCAATTCCTATCTACACGACTCCATAAGAACCATAAAGAAACACTTTAAGATGTCTTGTAAATTAGTTCCCCTACTTGCCTCTATTAATTTATTCGAGCCTACCATTTCCGTTTCGCCCAAAATGATCGCTCGACGGATTATGTTTAACGGGGTGGAAAGAGAAAGACAACGCAGAATGCGTAAAAGAAAAAAAATAACTTCCTCTTAGGGTGGCCACCTGTGTGTGCCACAAAGGGCCTCGGGAAGTATCGGGCACTATTTCTCGACATGGTACATTAAATTCGTACGGATACCCGAATCATGATGTAAGAAAGAGAACACACGTTAATAGTTTTTAGTAACGTTTCATTTAGTATGTAACTAAATAGTTTTCATCCTGATAACAAAGTTGAATCAATTGCAAGGGCAACTGATTTCATGTTTGTGAAAAGTGCACATGCAATGTTGCCTGATGTATTCCGTTCGTATAAATAATTACGCTTGAAGAAAATACATAAAACATTGCTCGATGACTAGGAAGAAAATAAAATTGATATTTTCCTTCAAATAAAAACTAATTACTCATCAATCATTTGCTGAAACGATAAGACGACGTACGAGGACGACTATCAATTTTATCCGAAAAAACTGGTATAAAAGTCGCTTCAGAGTTGCTTCTAACGTTACAATAGAAAATTGTATAGAGAAAGTAATATCGCGGCAGAAAACATGTTTCGATCCACCGTGCTGTGCATACTCTTCGTTACTGTCGTCTTTGTTCGTAAGTATCTTATTAATTCGTACTTTCGACTGTCGTGATGACCAACGCGAAACTCGGTTTCTTGTCAGTTGAAAGAGAAACCATGGCACAAGGATCTTACAAGTGCAGCGAGAACTCAACGTTTAATCCTTGCGGAACATTGTGTGAACCATCTTGTGGAAATCCTTACCCCGATACCGTGCTCTGTTCATTAATCGTGAGTATTATTACCGCGATAATTTATTACAAAGTTATCAATTATAAGAAAAATTGAATAAGACATTTGGAACTCAATTGAAGAGATTCGACAGCTAAGTGAGATATCGAAGAGAAGATCAGTTTCTATATTATTTAAGTATTTTTGTTTCTACACTAGCCATGCGTCCCAGCCTTTGGCGGCTGCCGTTGCAACGATGGATACGTGAGAGACAGTAACACCACGCAATGTATAACGTTCAATCAATGCCCACCACCGTAAACCCATGCATATTCAAATATCAGTTCCAAATATTTTTAATCTTGTCTTTAAATATTCTTATGCACCTATGTAACAATATATGATATTCTTCAAGCAATTATACCAAGCATATTCATTATCCAAAAAATCTTTCCATCGACAATATTGTCCCCAATTTGCAAAATACTAGTTGACAAAAAATAGCTTCGAGTTCGTTTTATTGTATATACAAGTAAGTAAATTTGTTAGTAAAATTCAGAATTTCAAGTTAGAGCATACAAGTTTCTACCAGAACGATGATTAATTAGTTACCGTTCGTGTTCCAACACCTTGCATAAATATTTCAAGCCAGCGAATTTTACGGCATGTTATTGCCAGGCGTTATCTTCAAAGATACAGCTTGTACAAAACGCACGCAAATTTGTACAGAAAAAAGGAGTATAAAAATGGGCGATTTTAGCCAGTTCGGCATCAGAAACGAAAAGTACCAATTTCAACAGTCAACATGTCTCGTTTCGCAATTTTCGTGCTCCTCGCTACCGTGCTCGTCGTTCGTAAGTTACTTTATAATATTTTACAATATAAATATCCCCACCGGTTAAACCGAATTCTTGCGATATAACAAAAATCGTTGTTACTAGTTCAAACGCAAGTGAACGGCCAAGACGTGCCACCGTGTCCAGAGAACGAGGAATTCACGCTCTGCGGAAGAGCCTGCGAGTCGACTTGCAGCGATCCTAAAAGGAGCATGATGTGTCTTGTATGTAATTAAAACTGAATAACGATATATTTATGAAGAATTTGCTAACGACCACGTTTGATTCCAGGGATGCGCACACGGTGATCCCACGTGCAAGTGTAAGGATGGCTACGTCAGGAAAGGTGACGCGTGTGTATCCCCTGATCAATGCTGAATACTAAACGACATTGTTCCCTTCAAACGAATTGTTTTTATGTAACTAGATAAAGAACGTTCTTTCAATGTACATACGCAGCTTATTTCCTAGCCTAATCAAGCCTAAATTGGATCTTAACGTTAGCCAAGGAACTTAGCACATTGAAGACGGTATGCGCTGAAAAGTGTCTAGCCCCAGTTCCTGCACATTTTTTGCACGTCACGTTTTGACGTGAATTTCCGTCATCCGTCGACAACAATTGAAAAATAAAAGACGGGAATTCCCGTCTCCCGTCTTCAATGTGTTAACACGTTAGCAAAGTTAATAATAATTCATAGAACGCGGAAGGTGTTCGTAACATGAAAAACGCTTAAGACGTCGGCGATCTTTCGGAGTTTATGTTATTACTGATTACTGCAGCGGCTTATTATAATAAGCAAGTCTGGGATACTGCGGCCGATTTTGCTTGGTTACACGCGACAAAGCGAGGCGAAAGGGAAACGTCAAAGGGAGCGCCGGGGACAATGCTTGCCTGGGGTGTTAATAACGAGCCAGCCATTCCGGTGGCATCGGTGTCACCAGCGACGCTTTGTTCGGCCGCGCGCGTATCTGGAAATAATCAGTCGCGTTTTACCGAAATAGCAACGCGCATTGTCCCGCGGGAACGAAACGCGACGGAATCGCGCGCGGTGAACAAAGGACCGGCCAGGGAAAACCAGTCGCGCAAGTTTCCCTAGTTAAGGGTGGAAAGGGGGATTGAAGGTCCCTCCTCTCTCTCCAACTTCCCTTTTTTTATTCTCACGGACGAGTTCCGAAGAGAAAACTTTCCTACTAATCGGATGACAGTTGTTAAATCTAAACTTTCTCCATAGCAGTAACCCATATTTCGTGATACAAACCTCTCGTACCAGAATCAATAAAAAAAATCATTCAAATAAACGCCTGCTCATTTTCCTTACTTTTTTAATAAAACTGACGTACAACAAATCATTGGTTTTTTTGAACTTCTACTACAATTGGCGATGAAGTAAGAAATAAATAGAATTGCTACGTGGAAAAGGTTTTCAGAAAAATGTCTGGTCATCGATATTACGTACACCAGTTTGGTTCGAACGGGGCAAAGGGGGACGAGCGTTCCGGGGCGCATTATGACCGATGAAATACCGTATTAAGGGTCCCCAAACAGGCTCGGCGCACCTGCCACTCGATTCCTTCTCTCAATCCGGGACTTTCTTCGCCGATGGGATTGTTCCTACTCTCATTTTCCTGGCCCGTTTCGCGCCAGCAGGCGGCTCTCGGTCACGAATTTCATCTCCCCGGAGGACAGGCAAGCGTATCCGATAGCCTCTTATTAGATCTGACAGAGAATTTTCCCTTACGCCGCGGAAGGAGCGACGATTATTCGTTAAGAAGATTACTGCCGGTGCCGGGAGATATCGGTTCCTGACGCTACCTGACCGCGGCGATTATTATTTCAAGAGAAAACCGGGATGGCTTCGCGGGCCGAGATAATAAATCGTTCGCCGAGCGGCTGACAGCAGAAGCGAAGCATTTTAGATGAGATAAGACGTTTCTTTGGGAAATTTACTAACGAAAGATTCTTATAAGTTGGGAAGCTGGATAATTTATTGGTCGCCGGGGATATTAATGGTCGCGAGTGTCCCATGAAAGTCGAAGACTTAAAATACCTTGTAGCCACTTGTCCGTGGAAAGGATTTATAATGCACGAAGATGATTTATATCTGTAAACTATAGCTAGAAAATTCTGCGATTCGAAATGATTTTCCTTTGAAACTAGAAAGAGGGACAAGCATTTAAGGATGTATTGGCTATACAGTCAATCCCAAAAGTTTATGTATCTAAGAAAAACGCATTTCCTATAATTAAAAAGAAATCAGACGTCGGAAGAACAATGCTAATAATAAATAGCTACGTGCTAAAAAGTATAGAAGGAAAT